CGAAGAACAATTATGAACGTTATGTGTTTTTGTATTTAATATAATAAATATATATTTATTCTTTATTTTCAGTTCTTGATAAATAAAGGGACTAAACTAACATACATTAATATATATATATATACATATATATACAAGGAAGTAGTTCTTAATGAGCTCATTACATATATATATATATAAAGATCATATTTTTATAAAGTTAGAGGTTAGAAATTCGAGTTTTATTTTAATATAAAAATAAATATATATACCCACATGCATATACTTATATTTGTACATCCATACACACACACACACTTATCTATTAAACTGAAAATTCCAAATGTAATTTTTTTTATTTTTAAAAATATTTTTTTAAGTACGAAGATCTTTATTTAACTACAAATTTAAAAAAATAAAAAAATAATAATAATAATATAGCATTTATCTATTTAATTTTTTAAAGTTTAGAGATAAAATTTAATTTTTAACGTACGATAATATTATTTTTTTTAAATTTGAAGGTAATTTATAAATATAAAAATAAAGCTAGATTTACATCATACGCTATGCAAGAATATAATATCACTTTTAAATTCATAATGTAATTACGGCATAAGTGCATATTTACGGCCTTTGATTGAAAATTATGCCCGTAAATAATGGTATTGCAAGAAATAAAATTGATTCAATTTTTATTCGAATAATTAACACGAAGGACATCGAACTAGTCATCGTCTTTTACGTTGAAAAATCTAGTTGTTCATGTAAATATATTGACAAAGATCAAGTAATTGACCTCATCATAAAGTTCTTGCCATACGAGTCTTTTTGGTAATTTTTCTTACATCTCTTTCTCTCTCGGAGCCTAAATATCACATATGCTTTTAAATTTTCAAGAGTCTCGGGTTCCAGAAGTGCATGATAAATACCGTCAAAGCCCAGAGCTAAAGTTTTAGACACTTTGGGTACAGAGAAGATGATTAAGAAAGAGGGTATTGGATGGGTTCCCATCCCATGCATGCAAATATACCCTTCACCTGTGAAAATAATTATAAACAAACTACTCTTTTCTTGAACAGAAATTCTCATTCTTTAAATTAATTAGGAATCACAGACAGAGAAACCCACTCAAGCTGAACCAGAATGAGTTGCAGTTCCTTCACAATATTCTATATTAACTACTTGAAAAAGGAAGTGGAAAACGACATCTCCTGCCCATGTGCAATTCTGTCACTCCCCTAGAACCCTTACACTCACCTCTCTCTCTCTCTCTCTCTCTCTCTCTCTCTCTGTCTGTCTGTCTCTAGATTCAGACCGTGCTGAACCAACTCAATAACCCTAATCAAGACAAATCGCAACCAATCACTTTAAGCCCTTGTTACACAGATTTAGCACTTGGTACTTGTCAAACCTCATCTATCTCACTTTTCCTCTTAAGTACCTTTTGGCTATGTGCTAGATCTACTACTCTATGCGCATATATATATATGTACTTTCAAATCATTAAGGCAATTGCCATTGATGGAAACTAATTGTTGGGTATGACTTAAATTCCTTCTCTATAACATCCCCTCACTTTCTCTGCAAAACATATTTAAGTGAAAGAAAATATGCCATCAAATTCCCTTTTGAGTGAATAGAGAAAGAGACAACCCTGTGTGTCCTACGCCTATCAATTCATATAATATATATATATATATGTATGTACACGGGATATCAGTCATTTTCTTTTCTTTTTGTTTTTTTAATTTCTGGCCTCATATAGGGTGTGTGGCCAGGTGGGTGGATAGTGTATACGGATAATTATATTATACGTACAGAGGAAGAAACAAAAATTGCTTAGATAGCGCCTGTAAGTGTTGACGAGATAATATTCCCATCTTGAATAAAAAAGGATGGAGTTGAATACTTAAATGGATTGATTCTCCGGAGTTGGTGGGTATTTTGGAGGTACTACGAAGATGAGAGAGAAAGAGAATGAGGAAAAGGAGAGAAGAAGCAGGACGCAAATGGATTTATATGAAGAGAGTCCTGTAACTGCATCAGACCTGGTGAAGACGATGATAATAATACAAGAAAAAAAAGAAAAAGAAAATCGATGTTGTGATGCATCTGACTTATATATATATACGTCTGTGGAAATCCATCTGTCAAATATGTGTATATAGAATAGTTTACTCTGTGCGTCTGGTTTACATGTCAGTCAAGTACTGAATGGGAAAAAGAGCTACTTCACAATATTCTATGTAGTTTTTTTGTTCGCTTTCTTCTCCCCCAAATACCCTAATTAGTTTACCTACAAAACTCTTTTTTTTTTTGGGTTATAATTTTCCATCTCTCCTTTCAAACACAATGTTCTACTTGATTTGTGCTTTGAAACGTCAACTAGCTCTTGTGTATTATCTAACTTCAACACATGATTACTCCCTAACCATGCATATAACAAAAAGATTATGAAACTACGATTCTTTCTCCAGGAAATTTCTGTAGTTGCAACTCCGATAATCACATATCAAGACCAAAAATCTTGACAGAGAATCAGTCATGGATACTGTTAATATAACTTTCAAATAAAAACAGCTACTTCAACTTATATCTACACAATTTATTAAGAACAATTTGATGATGTATGCAATTCCCTCGGGTGCAATGAACTGAGGGTTGAACAATATTTCCCCCATGCCTTTTTTTTTCTCTAACTTTATATTGTTATTACAGTTGCATCCTGCTTATAGACAGCCAGTTGAGCTAATTAAACTCAACTCAAAGAGGGCTTGACTTCAATGTCAAATTAAGAGGAAACTAGGAGAGAAGTTATGGAGGAAAGCATACAACAAATATATAAGCAAAGGACTTGTTGATTAGTACTATATATATATATATATATATATACTAGTTACTTCACCTTGGGCGGTTCTCCAAGCCTGAGCTCAAGATCTAAATCATCAAACGATCTAGGGCTAAGTTCAAGTTTCTCTGGCTGGATATCATGATGCTCATAATCTGAACCTGGCTGTAGAAAGAAAGGTTGTGATGATGCACCAAATCTTTTCCTCTTCTTGCGGCCTATACTCTCCTCCTTACCACCCACCACTGTCGAACAACTCCGATGAACCACCAAATTCAAGCTCAGAGACATGTCATTCTTGGGGTACTCCAGCTTGGCTGATTCTAATATTCTTGAGTTTTCTTGGCCTTCGGTTAATCTGGGATCAGAAAATTGCTCATGTTTCTCTGCAAAAGTGTATGACTTAGATTTTGTTGAAGAAACAAGGGACTTGTTTGACTCTTCTTGGATAACAGGAGAAGCAAGAGGAGGGAAGAAAGTATGTTCGGGGTATTTCCCTCGTTTATGAGGAGCTGAAACACTGGAAGGTGAGGACAAGGAGGACGCAAGAACACCATGATCAGAATTAGGGTTAGAACTATAAACCAAAGCACAAGTCTGAGATGGATACTGAAAATCAAAACTCGAGAGTGGGTTTTGAATGTGAGTGTGATGATCTTGATTTTCTTGGTGAACAATTTCATTGTCCTGACATAAAGATTGCTTCAACCTGGCTCTATCTCTCCTGTGAACATTCATGTGGCCACCTAGAGCTTGGGCTGATCTGAATTCTCTTCTACAGAAGCTACAAGAATAAGATCTTGGAGGCCATATACACCCTCCAAGTGCCCCAGCTGCATCTTCCGCAAAGGCTTGCTCTTCCCACGAATCATCATATGTTGAGTTAGTCGTTGAAGAAGCTCGAAGATGAGAATTACCGAAGCCGTGTCTCTTCCTAGTCCACATCCAATATGGTGGTTGCTCCATTATTGTTCTGCAAGGAAGACCAAATTCCTAGTGGAGTCTAAACTGGAGGTAGAGAAGATGAGTAAGCACCTTCAAACTCCATGCTGCAAATTCTGCAATCTATAAATGAGAGTAACGGATGTGATTGGTTAGAGATATTTGTTTATGGAGTCAAGGTGAATTAATTGGTGGGTACTCTACCTCTGCTCTTTTTAGACGTTTTTTGTTTTTGTTGATGGCCTTTAATGGCCGCTGGGGGGGGAGCCATAAATTTCTTTCTTATATATTATTCTGCTATTTTCCCTATAAATGCTTATAAAATTTGTGATGTGGGCTCCTGACGACAAACACTTTGATCATCTGACTGAAATCTCATAATAGAGATTTAGCAGAAGAGGTGGCATGAATCCTGGTCTTATATTTTACAAATTAAGCTTCTCATGTCTTACTCGGCCAGTTATATGTATTATTATTATTATTATATATATATATATATATATATTTTTTACTTCTCGCCAAAGTTATACCCGAATGGGAGCACGACACAAAGAACTGAACCCACCACGCCAATTAGAATAAAACTTTTACTCATTGGACTATTATCCCCTTAGTTACAAACAAGAAAGACAGAACTTCACAGAAGTCTCGTATAACTTGGAAAGAACTAAGAAATGGACTTCTTGTACAAAATATGATGCAGACTGACAGAAAACTGAAAGCGTAGAACAAGAAGATAGAGGAGTCATAAAGATGTCAAATATCCTTGACTTAATTCCTTCTTGCTTTGATTAATAGTTCCTACCCCTATAAGTACTCAGTGCACTAAATGAAACTACAAACCCACAATTTTGTTGAGTGATGAATAAAATGGAGTAATAGGGATGTCTGTAAGTAACCTCACATGTCAATGATTAGGGATGGGAAGGTGCTTGGATGTGAAACTTTGACAAGGTACTCTTCAAAATCAAAAGAGTGACTTATACAGAGGTTGTATGTAAAGTGTGAGGGAGCGACAGAAAGTTGTATAGAGCTCACCCCCCACAACTTTAAGCTGAGCCCCTTCAACTTCATCCATCTTTAAAAACCCAATTCAAATCCTTCTATTTTACACATGACATAACTCGGCTCACTTCATTCCAATCGACCCTTTATATTATTCAAGTTTTACCCACCATTTTCTTCTCAAACCCAAACCCATTAGCCCCCATTAAAAGTTGTACACACCCATTTCTCCTCTGAATTAAGCCAAC